GTTTAAAGGGGTCTGTACTGGTCCATACTGGTCCATACTGGTCCACTCTGCTCCACACAGCACCCTGTCCCCCTCCCTGGACGACTCAGTGACCCACGTGGTGACTGCCCAGGACTGGGACCCCGCCCTCGAGGAGGTGGGTCCTGGGGGGACCTTGGGGTGGGCGGGACTTTTGAGGAGGTGGGTGTGACCACTGGGTGGGGGGTGTGGTCTTCCCTTGGCTCCACCCCTCTGAACCCCTGGCCCTGCCCCCAGGCACTGGAGCTCCGCCCCTCGCTGACCTTCGTGCGTCCCCATTGGCTGGAGCTGTGCGGGGAGCGGCAGCGCCCCCTGCCGGCCGCGCCCTTTGCTGTTGGACCCCGCGCGTGACGTCATCTGGGTGATGTCATCACAGCCCCTGCCCCACTTCCCACCCTTCTCCCGCCCCACCCCGAGGGGAATTAAAGTGGTTTTGGATAAAAAACCTGGTGGTGTCTCATCAGTGGGGGTGGCTTATGTGGGACACGCCTCCCCTAAGAAACAGGCCCCACTAATTTCAAGTGTTACCCCTTTAAGGAGGGCCCCACTACAGGCATTACCCCTTTTACAGAGGACCCCACTGACATTGCCCCTTTAAACGTTGTCCCTACCGTCAACTGCCCATTTAGGAACCATTGCCGCTTTAAGACCGTTGCCCCTTTAATGACGACCCCTCTCCGGAGCCGTTGCCCCTTTAAGCGCCGTCCCCGCTTTAGGCCCCGCCCCTCCCGGCTCTTAAAGCGGTCGTTTTCCCACGGGTGGGCCCCACCAGCCGCCATGTTGCTTCGGCGGGTCCCTGCCGCCGCTGTCGCCATAGGCCGCGGGCTCGCGACAGGGCCCCGACAGGGGCGGCAGCTGCTGATGCGGCAGGTGGGGGGGAGGGGGATTTGAGGGTGGGAAAGACCCTGAAATGAGGGAGAACGGGGGGCGAGTGTCGCTGGGCCCGTTGGGGTCAAGGAAGGAGCAAAGGTTACAGGGGGCAGGTGTATACACTGGGGGGGTTTAGGGGAGATCTGTGGGCATTCGGGGCGGTCTGAGGATCTGAGGGCTTTCGGAGGGGGTCTTGGGGACTTTTGGGATGTCTGATACTCTGGGGGGGGCTTTCAGGGATTTGAGGGTTTCTGGGGGGTCTTGGGGGTTCTGAGGGATTTGGGGTGACCCGTTTCGGGGCGCAGCTGTTCGAGTCCTCCTCCTGCACCTACACCTACGTCCTGGCCGACGGGGCCTCGGGCGACGCCGTGATCATCGACCCTGTGCTGGAAACGGTGCCCCGGGACCTGCAGCTGCTGCGGGAGCTGCGGCTCAACCTGCGCTACGCAGGTACGGCCACGCCCACGGGGACACGCCCGGGGACACGCCCATGGGGACACACCCATGGGGACACGCCCATAGAGACACACCCATGGGGACACACCCATGGGGACACGCCCATAGAACCACACCCGTGTCCCCCCCAGTGAACACCCACTGCCACGCCGACCACGTGACGGGCTCGGGGTCCCTGGTCCGGGCCCTCGGCGGCCGCAGCGTCATCTCCAGGGCCAGCGGGGCCAGGGCCGACCTGCTGCTCAGCGACGGCGACCGCATCACCTTCGGGGACTTTGTGAGACCGGGGGGGCACGGGGGGGGGTGTGTCACCCTCTGGGGACGGGGACACCCACTGGGGGGGCACAGGGGCATTTCCGACCTGCTGCTCAATGAGGGGGATTTTGGGGTCCCTGGGGCGGGTTTTGGGGTCCCAGGGGAATTTGAGGGTCCCCCCGATGGGATATTTTGCCCCCCCCCAGGCCCTGCGGGTGGTCGCCACCCCCGGCCACACCCCCGGCTGTGTCACCCTGGTGCTGGACGATGACTCGATGGCCTTCACGGGGGACGCGCTGCTGGTGCGGGGCTGCGGCAGGACCGACTTCCAGGGGGGTCCGAGCTGGGACTGGGGAAGGGGAGGGGATGGGAGGGACTGGGAGGGACTGGGAGGGGATTGGGAGGGACTGGGAGGGGACTGGGAGGGGATTGAGGGACTGAGAAGGACTGGGAGGGACTGGGAGGGGATTGAGGGAGCGCTGGGAGGGGATAGGAAGGGCACTGGCGTGTACTGGGGATGGTGCTGGGAGGGCCTGGGATGTACCCATTACCATGGTGACAGTGGAAGGGATGATGCCCTGTCCCGTTGCCATGGTGACAGTTGCCCCCCCCGCTCCCTGGCGCCCCCTGCAGGCTGCCCCCGCACCCTGCACCGCTCGGTGCACGAGAGGATCTTCACCCTCCCCGAGAGCTGCCGCATCTACCCCGGGCACGACTACAGGGGTGGGGGCACCGGGGGGGCTGTTTGGGGGCTGAGGGGGCGTTTAGGGGGTGTTAGGGGTGTTGGGAGGGTCTTTAAGGGGTTGGGAGCACTGGGGGTGGTTTGGGGGGGGTATTTGGGGGGCATGTTGGGGGATTTGAGGGTGTTTTGGGGGGTCTTTAAGGGACTGGGGAACACTTTTGGGGCTGTTTTGTGGGCTGGGGGGCGGTTTGGGGGGACTTGGGGGGGGGTTGAGGCCCTGGGGAGGTGCTGGAAGGGTGGAGGATGGTCTTTAAGGGCTCATGGTGTGGGTGGGGGGCACTGGGGGTTCACTTGTGGGTCTGGGGTGTCCCAGTAAGGGTCGGGGGGGTCCTGATCCCCCTCCCCTCCATCCCCCCCCCCAAGGCCACACGATGTCCACGGTGGGGGAGGAGCGGCGGCTCAACCCCCGCCTGACGCTGAGCCCCGACGAGTTCGTGACACTGATGGAGGGGCTGAACCTGCCCCGGCCCCGCCTCATCGGTGAGACACCCCCAGGGAGACCCTAGGACTCCCCTGGACCCCTGGGACACCCCTGGGACCCCCCTGGGACCTCCTCAGAACCCCCTCAGAACCCCCTCGGAACCCCCCTGCCCCTTGTGACCCCTCTGTGACCTTCCGTGCCCCCCCCAAGCCCCAGGACCCCTGGACCCTTGGGACTTCCCCATAGCCCCCCCAGACCCCCCTGGGACCCCCCCGGGACCCCCCATAACCCCCCTTTCCCCCCAGACGTGGCCGTTCCTGCCAATCTCCGCTGTGGGATCCAGGATGAGCCTTAGCCCCGCCCCCTTTGGGCCTGGCCACGCCCACCAGGACGAAGCCACACTCCTTGGACAGAACCACGCCCCTCGAAAGAAGCCCCGCCTCTCGTGGCAGGACCACGCCCATCTCCAGATGTGACCACGCCTCCTCGGAGCTGGCCCCACCCCTTCAATGGCCACGCCCCTTTCCCCCAAATAAAGGCGTTGATCCAGAACAAGGTTGTGGGGGGATCTGGGGGTCTGGGGGGACCCCAAAGTGGGGGATTTGGGGTCTCTGTAGCCCCAAAATGCGGATCTGGGAGGTCTGAGACCAGAACGAGGCTGTTGGGGGCGGGGTGGGTTGGGGGAGGGGCGTGGCTCCCCTCTGGGAAAAGGGGGCGTGTCCAGTTCCCACGGGAAGGCCCCTCCCAAAAATTTCAGGTGCAGCCGAACCGGCCCGTCCAGGTGTGGCCCCTCCCCTTGTGACGTCATGGCGAGGCCACGCCCACCCTGCCCCTCCCCCACCTGCAGTCGCGCGATCGCAGCCGGGGGGGAGGTGGGGGAGGGGGAGCTCTGACCTCTGACCCCCCACACGGTGACCTTTGACCCCCCCATCCACCATGGTGCAGCACAGGGCGGGAGAGACCCCCCC